TGACGGAGAAGAACAATCGGTCAGAACACAAACAACGACTACAGAGAGTAAGAGATCAACTGTTGCGTTGATGTTGTTGTTGTTGTTGTTGCAGCTGGATACGCGAGCGCACGTACAGGTATGCTAACAATCCGACAGGGACTGGATGTCGGGTCTCTGCTTAAATGCTGTGGCGGTGATCAGGGCCAGGTGTGTTGATTGGGCACAGGTGGGAGCCGGCGCTGGTGATCTTGTCGTTGCTCGGCAACCGGTGGATCGTGGTTCTATCTGGACTCTGCTGACACCTGCTGCTGCTCAGTTATTATCATCACTCACATTACTATTACTGTCATCTTGAACCAACGTTTCTGACTTTGCTTCCTTCCTGAAGTCTTTATGCTTTCCCTCCCCACTGGTTTCTGTGGCTACTGGTTCTATATCATCCTTACGGCCTTACTGACCGTTGATCCAGGTTTCATAAAACCAAAGTTACATACGTTTATTTTGTTTTGTTAGATCTCTGGGTGGTTCTATCTGATGGTGGTTACATTACATTACATGTCATTTAGCTGACGCATTTATCCAAAGCGACTTAAGGCTTGTGGACTGCGAGAGGCTTGCGTAGCTTTTGACACTAGTCTAGAAAAATGGGTTGACGCATACAAGGAGAAAACGCAGAAGCATAAACTGGGCTTTACAGTCAGAGCATTTCAACCATAAGGACTCAAAAGGACAAGAAACAGGCAGAGATCCGAGTGAGGGAAGGAGAGAATTAGTTGGGTGTCATCAGCATAGCTGTGGTAGGAGAAGCCATGCGAGCGAATGACAGCGCAGAGAGAGTTGGTGTAGAGCGAGAAGAGGAGGGGACCCAGGACGGAACCCTGAGGAACTCCAGTAGTAAGAGGACAAGGTTCCGACACAGATCCTCCCCAGGTTACCCGGTAGGTGCGGCCGTCGAGGTAGGACGAGAGAAGGGAGCGAGCAGAGCCTGAGACACCAAGTTCCTGAAGGGAGGAAATAAGGATCTGCTGGTTGACTGTGTCAAACGCAGCAGAGAGGTCCAGAAGGACGAGGACAGAGGACAGAGAGGAGCTCTAGCAGTGTGGAGTTGCTCTGAGACAGCAAGGAGAGCAGTCTCTGTGGAACGGCCTTGAAGCCTGACTGGTGGGGGTCCAGGAGGTTGTTATGGTGGAGATAGGAGGAGAGCTGGTTAAAGATGGCATGTTCTTACATATGATGGTGTCTCTATCTGATGGTGGGTGTCCCTGCAGTGGTCACACCTGGTTTACTACTCTCAATATTTGAAGCATTTCTGTCGTAGGAATTGAATGTATTTTACATTGTTCGTTCTGTACACATGACATCCATCCGATGTGAGGTATTGGGACAGAGGATGTCCTACAGTGTGGACACAGACTCTAAAGCCATCTGAGGATAATTTGTGATTTTAGGCTACATAAAATAAAGTAAAATTGAATTGAATTATTCCATCTCCCCTCGCAGTGAGCACGGCTCCACTGCAGCATTGCAGAATAAAACCAGTGGTCCTGCCAACAACAAAGGGGAGGAGAGGAGGGAGGTTACGAGAAGGAGAGCAGTAAGGATGGAGAGCAGAGGAAGAAACACGGAGCGAACAGAGGAAAGAGACACTGATACAAAAGAAAGATGGAGAGGCGGCTGACGATGTTTAAGACAAGTCGCAGGTGCAGCAGCTTTATGTACCTGTCCTTTCTCTCTCTGTCCCTGTACCCCACCCCCCCTGTCTGAGTGCCAGGGCGGTGGTGCAGAGGCTAAATCAATCACCTCTCTCGCCTCCTTCCCCTCCACCCTCTTACACATTGTGCTGACGTAGTCGCTGCACTTTGTGTCTCATCACGTTACACAAGATGAGACACAAAAGAATCGTTCCACAAACCTTTAAATATTGTGAAAGATGAAACGTTACTTCATATGAGTTACTGCACCATTATGAGGACGTTGCATTGTCTCTGTTTGCTTTTGTCTCAGACACACACACACAGCCATTGTGTGTTTTCTCTTAACGGCCATTCAAGGGCAAGCGGAGTGAATCCTTGCTGACACACACACACACACTCCTCCCACACAATGTGTGTGTCTGTGTGTAGAAGTGTGTGTATAGGAGCATGTTTGTTGGTGTGGTGTGTTTGTGTAGGAGTATGCGTGTGTGTGTGTCCACGTGTAGGAGTGTGTGATTGTGTGTGTGTGTCTTTGTGACTTAATTAACTTTAATCTAAAGATCTGAGTTTTCACATTAAAATGATGAGCCAATATAGAATCAATAACACTCACGTGTGCAGAAGAAGACTTCAGTATTTGTGGTATAAAAATCCGCAAAATGTTTTTATTCATTTGAAATGTTTTATTGAATTCAAATCAGTTCTTCATGTTAACAAATCAAATCAACCATTCTGCATCCTAATGATTCATATTGCTTATGATGCACAAAATAAAGACAATCTGTGTGACTATCAGAACACACACACTCTCACACACACACACACACACACACACACACACACACACACACACACACACACACACACACACTCACACACTCTCACACACACTCTCACTCTCACACTCACACTCTCACACACACACAGACACACACACACTCACACACACACACACACACACACACACACACACACACACACACTCACACACACACTCACACTCTCACACACACACACTCACACACACAGGTTAAGAGATTGTCGTTGTATTTGTAGTTGTGTTGTCTCTGTATCCAGTGGGTCAAAGCAGGTTTCCCCTGAACAAACGATGACATGTTTCCCACATGCATCAGGTGTGTGTGTGTGTGTGTGTGTGTGTGTGTGTGATGACAGCTTACTATCACAGTCATTGTGTATGAATGACACAACATTGTGAGTCATATTGAGATGCCTCTAAGTTTGTGAGATTCTGAACTGGTGACGGAGCATAAAACATATTTCTTCTTAAAGAAATGATGACGTTGGTTTCATTGTAGCTGTTTTATGTTTATTAACATTATGAATCATTTTGTTGCCTCGAGTTAACCGACACAACATAAAGGGTTGTTTCACAGGGTTAAAGGTCAAATACCTGGGACTCGTTGTCCTTGTAAAGACGTTCCTTCACGGGCAAGCTAAAGTGTGCAAAACTACGCTACATGGATTAAGGTTACATCCCAGCTGATGACGTCACCAGGAGGGCGTAGCCCCCTCCCCCATCACCCTGTGTGACTCCCCCGTCACCACGGTGGATTCCATCCGTTTCCTGGGCTCCATCATCACCCAGGACCTCAAGTGGGAGCTGAACATCAGCTCCATCACCAAGAAGCTCAGCAGAGGTTGTTCTTCCTGAGGCAGCTGAAGAAACTCAACCTGCCAAAGACGATGATGGTCCACTTCTACACGGCCATCATGGAGTCCATCCTCTGCTCGTCATCACCAGCTGGTACGCTGCAGCCACAGCCAAGGACAAGGGCAGGCTGCAGCGTGTCCTCCGCTCTGCAGAGAAGCTGATCGGCTGCAATCTGCCGTCCCTGCAGGACTTGTTCGCTTCCAGGTCTCTGAAGCAGCTAAAAAGATGGTAGCCGACCCCTCTCACCCTGGACAAAACCTGTTTGTGCCCCTTCCATCTGGCAGGAGGCTGAGGTCCATCAGGATTACGACCTCTTCAACAGAGCCGGACCCCCACTGACTGATTCCGACATCCCACCGCTCACTCCCTTCACACTCCACATACACACACACTTGTCACTTTCACATACACAGTTGTGTAGAGTATGGTTATCTGTTCACCAGTGCACTTCATTTATTTTATTTTTTTAACCCTAACCCTTCTATTTTATACTGTCGTTAAATTGTAAATCTGTAAACCGAACATACTATATTCTTGCACTATATTATTTGTCTTGTTGTCTCACTGTCCATGTTATGCACTAACTGCCATGTCAAATTCCTTGTATAAGTAACATATTTTGGCTGTTGGGCTGAGTGGGAGGTGAGTGAGTCATGAGGACTGACGTGTTCTCAAAGTGTTCATTTATCCAGAGGTCCCCAACCTCCATTTAGAAAATTGACCGGGTTCTCCTAATTCCTAATTCCGTGCGCTCGTCACCAGGCGCTTTCTTCACTTTTACACTTGCCCCCTCCTCGCTGCGCTAACCCCCCCCCCCCCCCTTCGTTCTGTTGACTTCTTACCCCCCCACAGTCGGCCGGTTATTTCGTCGTGTTCATCCGCCACACCTCCAAGACCCGTCCGTGAAATATTGTCTAACATTAAATGGTCCGTAACACAAAAAAGGTTGGGGGCCGCTAGTTAATCAATGTGTGTCGCTTCAGGCTCCTCTACATCAGGGGTCTTCAACGTTTTTCAGGCCAAGGTCCCCCGAACTGATGCGAGACGGAGCAGGGGCCCCCTATTCCTCAGAGTTTGGTCCTCCATCTTTGCCTGTGACGTCGTATCAGCTTGAGAGCTGCTGTACGACGACGTCTCCTCCATCAACTTATCCGTTTCCACAACATGTTGGATTCATGTTCATGTGTATTTAAAGACACTAAATACAATTCTGATTCTCAAGACATTAAAATTTGTGGAAAATAAATTGGTTGAAAAAAAGAAATAAAATGGTCCTATGATGAAGGACGAGGGCGTCTTCAGTGAAGAACAGCTCACCTTTCTATGCGCGAGACATGTTGAGAAAGGGAAGGCGAACCCCCCCCTTTAAATACTGCCGACACCGCATTTCATTAAGTCTCTGATATGATGACAATCATCATCAACACTTGGTCATGGAGGTTTTTAAGAAGTTACACAATATGGTAACAATGTTCAACAACGGAACATTAACGTCTTTAATTGCTGTAAGAATTGACGTTTTATTAGGCCTACAGATGGAAGCGGGGAGGTTGGCTTGTTAAGGGGGGGGGGCTCAGTGGTCTGGATGGTGGAGCCACCGCAGCCACAAGGCACTGATTGAATACAGCGTTTATACATTAATGAAACTGGGGTGTTTTAAAATGAAACCATATTTATTGTGGATTATTCCAACAGCAGAATACAGGGCGCATGGAACTAAGAGGTGCGTAAATGCTTTTTCCAAATTTCCAGAGCTGCGTAAACGTCGCTTACGCACTTTAACCGTCCAACGCAGCCGTGCATTGGTGGGAAACATGGTGACGTTCAGATGGAACCTCTCCTAGATATCTGTCATCATCACACTCACAACAGCCACTCGGCTCTGAATGTAGCCGCTCAGTCCATCAATCACCATGAATTTCCCGCATCGGATGGTGACCCCCTCCACCCGTACTCCACCCAACCTCCATCCACAGTGAGCCAGGTAGAGGGTCAGGGTTGGTCCACTCCACCAGCTGGACTGGAGCGATGGACAGAACGTGGAGCATTGGGATAAACAGCATGAAGGTGAGGACTCCACAGGGGGCTTTAAGCTGGACTAACCCCCCCGGACAGGAACTTTATTCTTAGTTTAGTTTTACATTCGGGACAGATTTAGTCTGGAGAGACCGTTCACCATTGGAGCTGCCTCAAGGCATTCTGGGAAATCACATCCTTGTGCCTAAATGCAGACTTAAGGCATTACTCTCTGACCCTGATACCTGTGTGTGTGTGTGTGTGTGGGGGGGGGGGGGGGGGTATTGCTCTTAATTACATCAGAGGTCATCCTGTCCTGAAGTGAAGGCATATTCATCCTTATTGCTGTTTCTCTCTCTCACACACACACACACACACACACACACACACACACACACACACACACTTCCTGTCCTACGTGGTGGACAGCATATTGCATATCTCTAAACCGGTTACACACACATAGTCCCATGTGGTCTCAGAGTCTCTTGTGGTTCTCCAGTCTGTCACACCTCCATTCCAGGTTTGGTCAGATCCCCGTTGCCCTGGTCACCTCCCCCTCCTCCCCCCGCCCCTCCCCGGTCGTCCTCGTCGTCGCTGTCCAGCTCCTCGCTCTTCCTCTTGCTGTAGCGCTCGTACAGCACCATGAGCACGCCCATCACCCACGCCGACACGGTGCCGGCCGAGAAGATGACGAAGCCGATGGCGATGAAGAAGAGGTAGTCCCAGTAACCCAAACCCTGGTGGCAGTCCGCCCGCAGCTGCATGCCCACCTCCGCCATCCGCTGGCCCGCCAGCTCGGCAGGACTGTGGCAAACCGTCTGGCCTTCGTCTGGGGGGGAGGAAGAGGAAGGAGAGACAGAGAGCACAATTATGGCGCGTTTCCACCGAGCAGTACGGGTCGGGTCGGTACGGGTCGGGTCTGTTAACCATGATTTGGCGAGCGTTTCCACCGCCAACAGTACCCTTACTTGATAGGCGTGGTGTATTCCAGAAAGTAGTGATGACCTCACTTGATAGCCGTGGTATATGACGGAAAGTAGATTGACGTCATTCGATCGCGCGAAAACTGAAAGCTAACCGCAAACAACAATGGAGGATGTGCAGCCGATCCTGTTCCTGCTTCTCCACATGTGGCCGTTTGTCACAAGGAGACGACACTCTTTGTTTGAGCAAAGGCTACATGCTGCAAGGAACAACACAGCGCAAATGACGACACTCTTTCAACCAATCAACGCTCTGCAGTGAGTCTAGCTCCGCCCTTTAGTGCCAAACAACTGTGCCAGGTGCCCCAACGGAGGGAACCCAAAAAGTGGTACGGTACGGTTCGGATTGTTGGTACCATTCTCAACTTTTAGCAGTGGAGACACAAATAAAAGGGTACCAACCCGACCCGACCGACCCGTACCGCTCGGTGGAAACGCGCCATTAATGAGGACGGATAAAAGAAATCAGGACATTTTGTGAAAGACAAAGGGGAGGACATCCGGAGACAAGAGGGTGTAATTACTCAGGAGAGAAAGTAGTGTGAGACACACACACACACACACACACACACACACACTCACAAACAGCAGCTAACCGTGATAAACGGTCCTGGGAGACGCTGCACATGTCCTCCTGGTAACGGGGGTCTTTGGTGTCAAGGACACACACAGACACACACGATTATAGTAGACGTTAGTTCTCCGTGACAAACATCTGCCCTTCACAACACTCACTGTAGAGTGTTTACTCAGGAGAGGTCAAAGGTCGGGAGATCATGGTGCCTTGCTGCATGTTTTCACTGTGCACACATTTATTACAGTTTTTGCCCGTTGCTTGAACACTAAAGACACAGGTTCAAACAAAAGTAACATAACTTGTTGTTGTAACTATACCTTAAACAAAGTGTAACCATACACCATAAGTGTAACTATACCTTAAACAAAGTGTAACTATACACCATAAGTGTAACTATACCTTAAACAAAGTGTAACCATACACCATAAGTGTAACTATACACCATAAGTGTAACTATACCTTAAACAAAGTGTAACCATACACCATAAGTGTAACTATACCTTAAACAAAGTGTAACCATACACCATAAGTGTAACTATACACCATAAGTGTAACTATACCTTAAACAAAGTGTAACCATACACCATAAGTGTAACTATACCTTAAACAAAGTGTAACTATACCTTAAACAAAGTGTAACTATACCTTAAACAAAGTGTAACCATACACCATAAGTGTAACTATACCTTAAACAAAGTGTAACCATACACCATAAGTGTAACTATACCTTAAACAAAGTGTAACCATACACCATAAGTGTAACTATACCTTAAACAAAGTGTAACTATACCTTAAACAAAAGTGCTGCTTTGCACTTTAGTTGCAATTCTGTAACACACTTGCTTCTTTTTGCAACACACTGGCTCCTTGACACTACAAACTATTTCATATATAAGACACTTAGTTCAAAAATTAAATCTCAGGGTACCGTTGGGAAAACACATCTATTCAAAATACAACACACATTGGTTAATTGAAAAGACTTCGACACACACCTGCAAACACTTACTTACACAACTGAGCACTAAACAGCCAGCTACAAAAAGGCCCCAGTTGCAGTAACACGTTTAGAGAACATTGCAAGCGTGGAGACAGAGGACGAGGAAGACAGAGACAGAGGGGAGGACGTGGTCGAAGAGGCCACACGAGGACCATTATTTCAGATGACATAAGAGCAACTTTGGTGGACCAGGTCATAAACCGTGGCCTCACTATGAGGGAAGCTGGGCAGAGAGTCCATCCTAATCTAAGCCGTTTCACAGTTGCCTCCATAATAAGGACATCAGGTAAGTCTTCAACTCTATACTCTACTCAGACTGTCTCTGGAGTATTTACAGTACTGTACCATATCACGTTACTGTATCATCCTTTTCCAACCAAAGTGGTATTTTGTGAAACACATTGTGATAACGTGTTGAGATGTGTCAGTACGGTGTATGGTAAATACAGTAAAGTTCAGTATACACAGTACTGTAAAAAAGAAGCAAACGAGAACAATTTGTGGTTGCCTTTTTCTACTGAATAGCTAGAAGACCTACTGGGGGTGGACGCCAACGCCTGTTCACCCCACAGCAGGAACCTGCTGTAGTGAACCTAGTCAGAGCAAACAATGCAATCCGTCTCCACCAGCTACAGCAGCACGTACTGCAGGTAGGCAAGATTTCAACAACATAAATCCAGTAAGCATTACAACTATCAGACGCATCTTGGTGAAGCCCAACGTGACCATGAAGCAGTTGTACAAGGTCCCATTTGAGAGGAACAGTGTCCGGGTCAAAGAACTTGGACATGAACATGTACAGGTAAGTGTTTCAGTCCTTTACATTTACAATAAAGAATGAGTCCAGGAACAGATGAATACTGGATTAGTACCACGTAGATACATGATCAGCCCAGTCAGGTCCATCGGGCTGCTCTGGTCCAGAACTGGTTCACCAACCATGATCCATTTGAAGTTGTGTACTTGCCCCCTTACTCGCCATCTCTAAATCCTATAGAGGAATTTATTTCCGCTTGGAGATATGACCGCCGTATATGACCGCCAACCACATGGCCGTATGCCTCTTCTGCAGGCAATGGAACAGGCCTGCGGAGACATTGAGGTCAATCCAGGGATGGATTCGGCACACAGGAGGATGTTTTCCCCGATGCTCAGCGAGAGAAGACATCGCGTGTGATGTTGATGAGATCCTGTGGCCAGACCCCAACAGACGGCAGGATCCATGCGCCCGCCTGCGCACAATTGTGTTTTTCTGTGTTTACAGTATTGTACTGTTTTATTTTTGACTGAACTGAATTTACTGTACTGTAAAATATACTAATGTAATGATTTTGAATTGAGTATTTCATGTTTTGGTTGTTGAAAACATGCCCTCTGTGGAATTGAATAAAAACATTGAAAACAAAAGACTGCAGTTTTTTATATAAAGTGGATTAGTGTGTTGCTGCTGATCTGAAAGTGTATTCATATGATGCATGAATGTGTCATATGATGCATGAATGTGTCATATGATGCATGAATGTGTCATTTTGTCATCAGAGTTACATTTTGACAAAGGAATGTTACGTTTTGATAGTAGAGTTTCAATTTGACACAGATGTGAACGGTATATTTACCAGTGTTGTGTTTACTTGTGTGTAGACTTTTGGCACAATGGGTAGAGGAAGAGGAAGAGGAAAAGGAAGAGGAGTAGAGGAAGAGGAAGAGGAAAAGGAAGAGGAGTAGAGGAGGAGGAGGAGGAGAGGAGCAGGAAGAGGACAGACGGTGGTATTTGGCTGCTTTCCTGCTCTCTGATGGACTGATGCTATTGACTGTTAATTAAAGGGCCCTCATCTACACATCAGGCAGATGTGTGACCATTGAGATGAGTGATGTGGGGACGATGACGGCGATATGATCCAAACCTCTGACAGCAGAGCGCTGAGAGCCGTTAGAGGGGAACGTTTCTGATCTATGAAGGTATATTTATGTCTTTATGCAAACAAACATTTCTTGCATTGCAAACAAAAATAATGGAACCCGCTGAGTCGATAAACAGAAGAAGCAGAAGAGGAATTCCTCCTCGTGTCAAACAGCAAACAGACCATTTCACGCACCACTAGGCTAAGCTAGCTGCTAGCAGGCCCCGCTAAGCGGCTAGGATAAGCTACACGTTTTCTAAAGTGAATACTCGTTACTTAAAAGATTTAGTCTTTTAATTCTCCATCGTCCAGCGTGAGAATCCCTCATGTTCCTCAAGACGATGTCATTCGTTTTCCTTTTCTCTCCTTGTTCAAACATTTACTATTTAGCAAACACATTACAATCTGTAAATCTGTCTTGAAATGATTTTAAAGGAGTCTAGACGTAGCTACAGTATATTGGAGTTTGGACCATTTCTTTGCTAACTTGAACTAAACTTCTCATTCATTTTAACTTTCCATATTCATCTGAATAATTAAAACACTCATAAACGTCATTTAAATCTAGAAAAACGCCTCCAAACCAGATGAAGCGGATTGTGTGAGGAGCTTAACTGATGACCCTGTGAGGTCACAGAAGGACATCACAGTGAAGATGAAGGAGAAGTGGTTTCTCTTAAAGGGGCCTCACGTTCCTGCTGCACTGCAGCTCCAGTGTGCTGCTGCGTGAGAGGAACACGGGGGCCTCATCACGCTGCCCTCTCAGGACAGCAGTTTGCTCCGAACATTAATCTTTGGCCGGACCGTCGCTGTTAATTAGTTATATTCTGGCAGTTGTCTGGTCCACAGGAAGCATCACAGCGCGTTTTATGGATTATTATAAGACAAAAAGGATCAACAAGAGACACCAACCAGGAAGAGACTCGTGCAGAAAAGAACAAATACAAAGAGACACATCACATGTCATTTAGCTGATGACTCACAATAAGAACATTTCAACCAGAAGGAAAACAAACCCAGAGACAGAAACAAAAAAGTGCGATTTCATCAAATAAGCCAATTTACAATTTGCTTTATAAACCATTATAAGTACAATTTACATTACCATAGATAAATACTCCAGTATCGTATTTGTGGTATCGTATTGTGAGTATCGGGTACTGTAATATTTTGGCAGGTATCCTATCGAAGTCAGAATTTTGGTATTGCGACAAACCTAATATATATATATATATATATATATATATATATATATATATATATATTTTGTTCTAACACTGATTGTCGCTGTTTGACAGAACAGATAAACTGCAGGAAGTAAACAGAGGCCGGATTCAAAGTCCTTCCTCACTGTGAAGTGAAGTAGTGGACGTGGCGCCATGATAACAGCTGTATGAATTCTCTAATGCTGAGGAAAGGACCTTCAATGCTTCCTTACTTAGTTCCTTTAGCATAGGAACCACTGGACTTTCCCTTACGAAAGGAAAGGAGACCAATCCGTCCCACAATTCCTTGCGGCGGCAATATTTGAATAGTGATCATTGGTCCATTCACGAGAAATCATCATGACGTAGAAACGCAGATCAGGGACGAAGTTATCTCTCTCTGTAGCCGCTGCAGACTCACGTCACCAACAAGCGTCTCCGTCCATCACATCACGTAGCTCAGTGGACGTGGAGTCCATTCCCTAAACGCCAGCTGTCCTTTCCTAACTCCTCATCCACTCTCCTAACCATCTTTCCATGACCCTGTGACCTTTACCACAGAGGTTTAAGGAACACTGGGGATGAATCCACTGGTCTTTTTACTCCTTATCTCATTAGTTTGTGTCCAGGCCGTCAACGCCAGAACCCCCCCCCAAAAAACGCTCCAGCTGTGAAAGCCACAGGGTTCATTGTGCTTTGTGAGCTGGCTGCCTTGTCAGAGTATACGGCCGGCCACTCGACAGGCTCAAATTCTATTAGGACAAGTGGGGGTGGAGGGGCGCAGGGGGGGCTAGGGGTGTGTTTTAATGTAGAATAACTCTAAATGATCATCATCACGATCCAGCAGCTGAATGAGGTTGGCGTGTTCGTTTACGGAATGATCTGTTTCCTGTGATGGACGACAGAGTGAAGACAGGTCGGAGACACTCACACACACACACACACACATGCCGACACACACTTACTTGACCCCATTCACCCTTTTAAGCTGGTTACCAGAGCTGTTTATGAGTCATATCACATCATGTCATATCACATCAAATGTGATTTAGTGTCTGAGAGACGCCTCTTAGCATGTTATTAACCCCCAGTTCTGTTAATCAATCTCAAACTGCATTCTCTGTAATGACCACCAGGGGGGCAACTCTGGTCCTACAGAACAGGGGTCCAGGCCGCGGACCGGTACCAGTCAGAGGGCCAATTGGTACCAGGCTGCAGCCAGAAAGAATATATATATATATATATTGGTCATTTTACCTTTTTTAGAAAAATGCTTTATTTTGAAAATAGACCTAATTGTCTCATAATTCCATTTCTACTTCTCTGTAGGCTGCAGCGGTGCAGCCCAACCTAACCTAACCTAACCTAACCTAACCTAACCCTAACCTAACCCTAACCCTAACCTAACCCTAACCCCCAACTGTGATTGACTGGAGCTGCTCTGTCACTCGGTGGTCGGTAGCTCCATTCTGAGGAGCGTGAAGAGAAACCAGGGACCATAGTTACGTGTGAACCGGGCACCAGGGCGACATTGAGTCTTATCTCAAACTGCTGGCTAAGGATAAACGTAAATACAGTAAGATTGTAATACACGTCGGCGGTAATGACTCCCGATTACGTTGCTCGGAGGTCACTAAAGTTAATGTGGAATCGGTGTGTACATACGCTAAAACAATGTCGGACACCGTAGTTTTCTCTGGCCAGTGACGACATGTACAGCCGCATGTCGTCATTCCGCCGCTGGTTGTCGAGGTGGTGCCCAGTAAATAATGTGGGCTTCGTTGATCACTGGGAGACGTTTTGGGGAGAGCCTGGTCTGATTAGGAGGGACGGCATCCATCCCACTTTGGCTGGAGATGAACTTCTTTCTAAGAACCTGACCCAGTTTCTTAGTGGACTTGATCCACGACCCAGAGTTCAGACCAGGGAGCAGAGTCGCAGTCACTCAGCACAATGAACCCTATAGAGACCTCGTCTGCCCCACGGACACACTTATCTAAGTTAAAGGTAAGAAACCGAGGAGTTGTAGTAAATAACTTAATTAAAGTTAAAACTAATAATGCAATAGTGCAACAAAATAGGAGAATTAAAGGGGGTCTTTTGAATATCAGACCTGTCATCTAAAGCTGTTTTGGTAAATGAACTAATATCAGATCACCATGTTGATGTATTTTGTCTTACTGAGACGTGGTTGTTGAATGGGGAATATTTCTGTTTAAATGAAGCGACTCCTCCGAGTCATGTTAATACTCATATTCCCCGAGGCACAGGCCGAGGGGGGGGGGGGCAGCTATTTATGACTCCTGCCTTTTAATAAACTTTAAACCTAAGGTGGATTGTAACTCATTTGAAAGCCTGGTTTTCAGTCTTTCGCAACCGACCTGTAAAATAATCCAGCCGGTTCTCCTTGTAATAGTGTACAGGGCCCCAGGTCCTTGTTCAGAATTTCACAGTTCTTAACGAGTTTGGTCCTTAAAACGGACGAGGTAATTATTGTGGGTGACTTTAACACCCACAATAATTACCTCGTCCGTTTTCATGTGCAGAATGTTTTCTCTTTTTGCAGAAATGTGCTTGTGGTTTCCTGGTGAAAAGCAGAGAGTGTGTGTGTGTGTGTGTGTGTGTGTGTGTGTGTGTGTGTGTGGAGATGATAACTACTTTGGGGAGCTGCTGTCTTCCTCTCAAACTCCTCGTGTCCTTACAGTAATCTCACACAAGCCCTTCAGGTCTCCTCTCAGCTCCTCAATCGCACACTGACTCACACAAACACACACTTGACTCTGGTGAGTCACTCACACACACACACACACACTCACACACACACACACACGCACACACACACACACACGCACACACACACACACACACAGAACACTTAACAGGAGCATAAAAGTCCAGCTTTTTTTAAGCATCATCATTATACATCTGGACTGAAGGGCCAAAGTGTCCATTGGCAGGGCGCTGACACACACGCACGCACGCGCACACTTACGCACACGCACACGCACACACACACGCACACGCACACGATCTTCTCAGCATCATCGAGGCCAGGAAAGGAGATGCAGATGCAACGAGAAGTTCTGAGCTCAATACAGATCGAGCTGATTTCCCAGGACGCTATTGAGACGGTGTGCGTGTGCGTGTTTGTGTGCGTGTGTTTGTGTGCGTGTGTTTGTGTGCGTGTGTGTGTACAGACAGAAGCACAAACATCAAGGTGAACTCCACCGTTATTTCGGATGAGCTGGTGGGACATAACACGCGGACCTGCAGGAGCTCTCGTGATGCATTGTGGGAGAACCATGCGTGCGTCTCACCTTGGAACTTGAAGCCCTCGATCTGCACCCACAGGCAGAGGTCCTCCGTGTCACAGTCACAGCTCCACGGGTTCCCGCTGAGCCCCAGAGAGCGCAGCGCGGGCAGCGCGATCAGGCTGCTGATGTTCAGCGCCGTCAGGTTGTTGCGGCTCACGTCCAGGACCTGCAGAGCCGCGTTCTCCGAGAAGGCGTCCGGGTGGACCTCCCCGAGACCCGGGTTGTCCGTCAGCCGGAGCATCACCAGAGACGCCAGCGGCCCAAAAGTGCGGTCCTCGACCTGCAGCAGGGTGTTGAAGGACAGGTCCAGGTAGGCGAGTTTACGCAGGTTGCCGAACGTGGACTCGGAGATCTCGGTCAGAGAGTTGTTGCTGCAGTCCAGGTAGACCAGGTCGGACAGGTAGTTGAGCTGCAGCGCCGGAAGGTCCCCGATGCGGTTGTTGGAGATGATGAGCTGCCGGGTCGCCAGCGGCAGGTCGTTGGGGAACACGGTGAGCTCCTGCCCGGCGCACTGGACCACCAGCTGGTCGTCGCACACGCATCTGTCGGGGCAGCCGGCCGTGAGAGCCGGGGACGGGGTCACCCCCATCACGAAGACAAAGAGGAAGAGCAGGCGGAGGGACTGGGCGCTGGGCTCGGGCAGCAGACGCATGACGAGGCTGCCCGCGGCGTCATGGAGTCGGGCTGCGCGGGACCAGGACTCCCCGGCGCGCCCCGGGCATCCTGCATGTGTGCGCGGACTGCCGGTCTGTGGCTGCCTGGTGGCCCGGATGCTGGTCCTCTCCAGCCTCCTGTCTCACGCGTCAACACGAGACATGTCCGCTCTCGGTGCTTTCCTTCAGAAGGTGACCGCTGCGGGGGGGCGAGGAAGACCTCCCGGTCCGCGACTCACCTTCAGACGGAGCGTTTGTTTATTTACTTTCCAAACAAACACAAACAAATCCTGGATGTAAACCCCGGCGTGCGCGCGTGGCTCATCGTGCTTCCAGTCCTGCGCTCATCTGCGCCTCCACGCCCGCGCGCACACGAGCGCGTGCTTTGTATTTGTGTTGCGCACGCCCCTCGCTTGATTGCTATGGTGACGTCATCGTGCTGGTCCTCCTCAGGAGAAGTGACGAGAAGCAGTTATATTCATATATATATATATATATATATATATATATATATATATATATATATATATATATATATATATATATATGAATGGCAAAGTTCTAATATGACATCACATCACATGTCATTTATCTGACGCTTTTATCTAAAGCGACTTACAATAAGAACATTTTAACCATAAGGAAACAAACTCAGAAGAACAAGAAACAATAAGTTCAGTTTCCTCAAACAAGCCGATGTCCAACTTGCTGTAGATAAGAACCATTATAAGTCCAATGTAAGTGCTGCAGTTAGTTAGTGTGTTAGTGGAGGTAGAGTCTGAAGAGGTGTGTCTTTAGTCTGAAGATGTGAAGGCTCTCTGTGGTCCTGATGTCTTCAGAGACCTCCTTCCACCATTTAGGAGCAGGACAGCAAAGAGTGGAGATCTAGTCGAGTGTTTTGCTCTCAGTGAGGAGGAACAAGCAGTTTATCACATGCAGAGCGGAGAGGTCAGAGGTCGGGATGTCGGGTTGGACCAGGTCCTGGATGGAAGCTGGACCCCGTCCATTCACAGCCTGGTACCTGAGCACCATGTTTGGTACCAGTGTTGATATTAGAACATAGTTTCCAACCAAAGATCAGCTGTGTATGAATAATTCATCTTTAGAAAATATATTTAAACTTAGTTTAGTGATCTCGTGGAGAAATCATCACGCAGGGTTTATCTTCTTTATCACATTTCTATCTTCACATCACATCACATTTACCTGAGAGGATCCCAGAACCCTCTCTGCCTGCTCCAGCTGGTGTCGGCTTCCACAGGTGCTCATGCACACCTGTGTGTGACACAGCTACATGCTCCCTGGAGGCCTTGTGTTTGTTCCCTCACGAGCGTGCACGTGTGAGCTCACCTTTACTTTTTAATAAGGCTGCTGTCAGTGTCGGCTGTCAGTCTGATCCTCGGCCTCCGTATCACAGGTGTCACTCACCTGCACCTGAGGTCACACCTTTATTCACTCACCTTCACCTGAGGACACACCTTTATTCACTGACCTTCACCTGAGGACACACCTTTATTCACTCGTCTTCACCTGAGGACACACCTTTATTCACTCGTCTTCACCTGAGGTCACACCTTTATTCACTGACCTTCACCTGAGGTCACACCTTTATTCACTTGTCTTCACCTGAGGACACACCTTTATTCACTCACCTTCACCTGAGGACACACCTTTATTCACTCACCTTCACCTGAGGACACACCTTTATTCACTCGTCTTCACCTGAGGTCACTGCATTGGATTTTTATTTCACAGTGAAGTAGAGAAAGTTGATTTGATTTAAGTGCATGAAAGTTAGTCGCTCTGAGCTTTGGGACAAATCCTTCACCAAACCGAGGACCCCCTTAAAGTCACTGTTGGGTGGCGCCTCAGTCTTGGTCCTGATGCTGGTCCTTGTTCTGGTCCTGGTTCCTCTCTTCCAGCAGCCCAGTTGAGACAAGAGAACCACTGGGTCCCGTTGAGAAGGAGACAAAGAGTTCACATGTGGTTCTACCTGGGACCCGGCCAGCTAGTCCTCCACTAGTAATCCACTAGTCCTAAAAACCAACTCACCGCAAATAAACATCTTCTCATAATCTTTATTTCTGGATGAAAATGCGCAGGAAGAAGCACGGCGGCGTTTTCTTCTCCCAAACAGATTTACCATGAGTGAAGTTCACCTCTTCAGAAGCGACAGTGTGTGTTGGTGGGAACATCCGTCAGATAGAAGCTGATGACGGACGGGACGCCACCGACTCGCAGTGACTCACAGCCTCAACGCCGGTCAGCGGGCCTGAGCAGAGCCGCCGTCACACAAGCCGTTGTGTCTAGTGGACATGTGTGTCTATGTGATGATAAAGAATCGTGAGATGTTCCTCAGCAGGACAGAGCTGCAGGCCCCCCTCTGGTACGAGGCTGACCCCTGCAGGACAGGGGGGCATCATGGCAGGCCTGAAATGGGCCTGTAAAGGCTGTA